CCCCCGGCGGCGGCGGCGGCCCGGCCGCCCCGCGCTCCCCGGCGAGGCGCCGCCGCCCGGCCCGGCCTCGCCTCGGACGCCTCGCTCCGACATGCCCCGCTCTGGCGGCCGGGCTCGCGGAGGATCATGACTGCGGCAGCGAACTGGGTGGCGAACGGGGCGAGCCTGGAGGATTGTCACTCCAACCTCTTCTCGCTGGTGAGTAGCCGGGCTGCGGGGAGGGGGGCTGAGTCGGGGGGGGGGTCCCCGGCCTCCGCCGCGGACCAACTTTCTCCTCCCGCCGCCGGGACTTCGCCCCTCCCTCGCCTCTCCCCGCCGTTCGCCTCTCGTCGATTCTCCCCCTTTTGGATCGTCTCTCCCTCGCCTTGGATCCCATCCAGTGTTTATTTGGCTCTTTAAAAATCATTTGTGAGCGCGGCGCTCGGCGTGGAATTTGCATGTGGAAGTCTCAAAGCTGCGGATTCTGGGTCGCACTTCGAACGCCCACCCTCTGTTGCAATCACACCCCCCTTCCCCTCCCCTTTCCTCCCCTTTTTTCCCTAAATGTGGAAGGCTTTGCCTTGTGCTGCCCGCGCCCGCGATAAGCAGCCTTTCCCCCCCTTGTCGGATCGGCTGCCCGCCCGCCCGCCTTTTGAATTTTTTTTTTTTTTAAATTCCATAATGACACCTGCAATTTCGCCCGAAAACAGTTGATTGAATGCGATTGTGTCAGTAAAGGACTCTTGCACCCGAAGCTCCCGCGATTGTAAACATCGACAGCCGCCTGCCTCTCGGGGCTTACTACGCTGGAGAGCCGTAAAGCCATTGCACCGAGCCGACGGAAGGTGGAGAAGGCTTTTTCTTCTTTCTCTCCTCCTGTGTCTTTTAAAAACTGTTTTCTCTATCCTAACAACGAATCCACACACACACACAAAAGCAACAAGCTGGGCGGTTTGATAACATCGCTTTTATCTGCCTTCGCCTTTCTCGCGGTCTCTCTCTGATAATTGACAACTTTTCCTTCGGATTTGAATCGCCTGCCTTAATCTTGAAGCAGTTAGGGTGTCAATTGTTCTCCTGGAAGCCTGGCATCCGACGACGACGTCTAAATTCATCGAAATTAAAAATGTATAGGGCTCCAGCAACTCTTTCCTGGCGGTGGCAGTGACATTTGGTGGTAAATGCCATCTTTGCTTTTTATTGGGTCGTATTACCTAGCTCTGAAAACATTCACCTTGTTAAACCTGGCGTTTAGGCTAATAATTGCAGTGCGTGGTCTTTAAATATGTGCTTTGTGCATGAGTTACTGTATGTATAGCTATGTGCCCGGGAGACTACGAATTTGTTTAAATATTGAGCAAAGATTTGTAAACAGATGTAAGGCAATTATGTTTCAAGCGTAGAATATAATTGGAAAATTGGCTGAACGGTTTGTTTAATTTAGCCTTAAAAAAAACAACTTATTTTAAGTTATGTACTCTTTTTGGGGGGACTGCCTTTGGAGAGCATGCATTTTGGAAATTATTTTCTGTAACCTCTGCAGTAGATAGAAGCATTATTTCCTTTTAATCCTTGTTTACATTTACACTGGATAAATAATTTAGTGTTCAAATTGTAATTAGTTACATTTAATTATGGGTAGGCATAGATGCTTTTTTTTTTCTTTGAAACTAGTGGAGAAATACACATTCTTGCCAGCTTTTCAGATGGAAGTGCTATTCTATTAAATATTTTCTTATGCAGATAAAAAACATCAAAACACGTGATTTTTTTTACCCACAAAGACAGAGTGACATATCTGTGCTTTCACTATCCTATATAGATCACGTTAATTTTTTCGCCCAACGTACTTATTGAGGTATATAATCTTAAAATTTAATTATAAGTTTTAATTCTTCCTTTTCGTACTGTGATAATTTTCCCTTGATCTTTGATATGTGGGAATAGAAATCATTTTGCCTTCTCTTTTCTCTCCCCCAGAATATCATTTAGTATCAGTCAGATTCAGAGACTTTAATAGATTAGCGAACATATTGATTAAGGGGTATTTAAAATGGTTTTTGTTTGGTGGCTGGTGATCACATTGATGCTTTAACAGGTAATTAAAATAACCAAGTAGACCAATATTAGTGAGGAGAGAGCCCCGAAATTACCATATATCATTCTGACTGGTAATGGCTTGTGTATATGTGGCTAATTTATATACAGTAGATTTTGTAGACCATTGAAACTATATGTGTAGCCAGCCTTTAAGATACATCATTTCTTTTATCTTTTTTTTTTTTTTAAAGCTCAAGTAAGGATGATAATGTTAAAGAGATAAGATGCTTGAGATTCTTTTGGAGAAACAAGCAATTTTATAATAGAGGATTTTGTGTTTTATGACTGACTAGAGGTTTGTACTTTGGGTATTTCTCTCAACCTTTTTAAACCAGGAATTGAGTGTGTGTGTGTGTGTGTGTGTGTGTGTGTGTGTGTGTGTGTAGGATTACTCATTAGGTGGCAAGTTTGAAATGCAGAACTGAAGAAATTCGTGGGTTGCCTTTTTTTTTAAGGACTGTAGAATGCATTCTGTTGTATGTGGAGGGTGGATAAGGTGCTATTTTTTTTTTTTTTAGATTGAGAATCAGTTAAAAAGCTGCTGATAATGTAAGGTTTTGCTCATTCCGAATGAAGAGTTTTCCTTGAAAATTTCCTTGAAATTCTAGGCAGGAGCCTAGAATATTAAAATATGTTGTCTAAAGTACATTGTATAGAAGAGTTAATTTCAAAGGAGCTAAAGTCGTCCCATGTTTAAAATAAAACATATATTACAAGAACTCTTAAAGAGATAAGATAATAATAATATGATAATAGCATGTATTTTTCTTTTTGGCCTGCAGGTTTTTTGAGCAGAGAAAAGTATTGTTTATAGAGAATTTACCTAGATACTCATATTAATGTGGATTGAAATATAAACTAGAGATTAAAGTTCTGTACCACACTAATGATCCACCCACTTTCTGTTACCTTGAAGTGTTCATTATGGCTTAGCAAAAGTAGATTGTGCAATAAACTGCCTTAAGATTTTTGTTCTTGTTTTGCTTTCTGATTTTCTACTGCATGGTGTCAGATTTCCCAAATCCTCTGTCCCCCACCGCCCACCCCCATTTCCTAATGTAAAAAATGCCATTGTGTGTGTATGATATGGGTGATTGTATGTGTTTCTTATTCTTACCGTTTGTTTGTGGGATTCGTAGCTCCTGCATTAAATGCATGCCTTGCTGTTAACCTTTGTGACTCAAAACTGTTTTCTCAAGTTGTCCATCACATTTCTGTGATGGAGACTCTTGTTATATATTCACTCAGTTATAATTCAGTTAAGTGTGTTAAATCTTGTCTTTTTGGAAAGTGTAACACTGCACCCTATCGTGTGTCAACTCACCCTTGAGGGAAGACATAATTTCCAGACAGAAATATATCTTTAGTTTTGCTTCTTTAGTTTTGTTTCTCTATTGAGATCATATGGAGGAAAGTAATTTTGTGGTCTTTAACTAGATTTAAGTATATACTCTTTGAGAGTTTGATCTAATTCTTAAGTATGTGTGTTCCACCTTCACGTTGTTTTATTTGCTTAGAATCTTCCTGACTGTGGGGTAATTGGGTGATGATATCAAATTCTCCCTCCCTGAATTTGAAACACCCGTACACGTATTAGTACATACTTCCTTTGAAGGACCATTAATTCTGTATCTGAAGCTTTAAGGTAATCTGTTGTTGACCTGCTCTCTTTTCTCTTAGGAGATTTATATTTTTGCAGAGAGGGAAGATAGTTGTAAATATAGAAACTTTGGGATCTTTTCTTTCGAGCTAGAACAAATGGGGAGGGCTGTAAGTTGAAAATGAGCAAAAGGAATGAGTTCTCTCATCTTCTCAAGTGCCAGAATACATACACAGGGTATTTTTTCATCCCATTTGCCAATTTTAGTATTTAAACATAAAGCATCTTTTTTTCAGGATGGTTTATTTTCTTTAATGAAAATATTTATAATTTGCTAATGTATGTTTTCTGTTTAGCATTTTGTTGTTACTAGCACATGGTGTTACAGTATTTATATATTTTTAATAGCAATAATTGCCACCCGGTAATAGTTGCCATATTAACCTCCAATTGCTAGTAAATATTTTTAAGTACATAATAGACAGCAATTTAAGGCATAGTGTAGCAGTTTACTGGACCGTTTTAAAGAGCCATTTGTACGTGTGATGAGTTCATAATTTTAAAGAGAAAATAATGTACCTAAGACTTGCATGCTGCAAAATAATATTGCTGTCTTACTGCTTGAAGTGCTCCTTGAGAGGAAGTTAGGTTGGGACTCTTTTTTGAGAATGAAGGCCTGGGGGTGCCTTCAGGATATAAGTGTTTATTGAGTTTATCCCAGGTGCTTATATAGCTTAGTATTTTCTTTGGAATGTTTTGGTCATTTTTTTTCATGATTGTATTAGGTATTTATTTGGAAAAAAATCTCTTAAGGCATTCTTTTAGATAAAATTAAGTTATGGTAGTGGATTAATTACATATGTAAAAATGGATTCATCTTTTTTGTTCACTGGCTAATTTAGCCTTATTAATTGTATTCATCAGACACTTTCAGAGATCTCTACTCTTGAGATTAATAAAGAAGATACTCTGTCACCAGTTTCTACTATATGCTATAAATTGAGACAACCATTTGCAAAAGATAAGTACATTTTATAGTTATGTTTGCCAGATTACTTAAAATTGAGATGAAACTCAGTGTAAATAGTAAAAAGATTGCTTATCTGGATTTTTTTTTAATGAACAGTTAATACAACTGTCAAAAGTTTGATTCAGAGATAGACTATTTTTCTGAAATGATTTGACTTTGATAGAATAATGTTCCCTCTTTCAGTAGTAGAAGGTACCGATGTGTTTTTTGTTTTTGTTTTCGTTTTCTGGAAGTGGGTAATGTTTATTTCATAGAAACCAGCCAGTGAGAGAGATCAAAGTTTATGAAAATTAAAAATATGGTTGAATATTGGGTATTATTACTGAAATGTGCATTGCAGCTATTAAAAATTGAGAAAAAGACTTTATGCAACATTGTTATTAGTGCCATTTGTTTGAAATGTATTGTGTGCTAATCTGCTATATAAACTATTTGTGTTTTGTAATGTTGGTCACGAGAATTTCTATTTTGTGTTTTTTTAAACATTCC